AACTTTGATGTTGAAATATCTCAGAAAAGTTATTTAAAGTCTAATCGGTCTTTTATCAACAATAAAAAAATCGATTAGTCCCTTATTATGCAAACATTTATAGATGACTAACAAATTTCGTCGTCAACACCACTGACAATTTTCTACAGTCATAAGTGGAAATTTACACCATACATTCTAGTTTACTACTTGTGTAACTATATTTTACCAATTGTTTACCCATTATATTTATTTACATTTTGTCATGATTTCACAGAAATGTCACCGGACTTCTTAAAATTACTATTAGTAGAAACTAAGCAGAAAGACTGGGTAGTTATGGTTGAACTGTTCGTAAATGCATTGACAAACGTGTAACCTCATTTTAAGCAACAACTGAATCTGCGCCCTCATTAGGAACAGCTGAAGTTCTCTCTCTATTCAGTGGCTTGTCTCATTAGTTTTTATGACAAGATAATATCATAAATCACTATCAAATATAAATTCAGTGTTTAGTCGGAGCCTGGTTAAAAATGGGTTGCTCAAAGTTTTGTTATAAAATCCTCAATTGTGTCAACAACTAAACGGCAAGGGATACGAATGAACTACGTACGAATTCACTTAACTCTTTCTACCAAAGATGACACAGCTACTCAAAACTCCAAGCATTTAAATTCGCTTCTGCTCGTATTAAAAAATACCTGTAGATTTATATGCCTCGGTTCAATTTCTTCAGATAACAAATTATAATTAAAAAGTACTAAATGGAAATACCCGATAGACTTAGTTACTGTAAAAACTTCCCTAGAGCTAACTAAACTAATTTATGTTTCTCATGCAATACTCTGTATGATTTATGAAAACAAATGCATTACCAAAGATACACAATATATTGTGTAACATTTCAGTGTGTAACACGTCGATTTCAAAAGTTGAATGAAAATAAATTTTAATATCAAGTGGCTAAACGAGTCAGTCAAAATATAGAAAATTGATTAGTAAGCGGTTCTCGGTTTTTCGGGCTAAAAATATAAATCCTTTTAAATATTTGTACTTGGAATTGAATTTTTTGATGGTACGGTATTCATTGCCAGATTACCCACCATGTCCTTCAGTTCGATGTAAACTTGAAATTCAATCAAAATAAGGAATATTCCGTGAGACCTAAGGAAATCTTCATTGACTGATATTGGTTTTCATTATAAAGAATGTCATAGTTTCATTAAATACTTTTAAAAATGTGATCTATAGCATTTAAATTTAATGAACATAAGCTTCATAGAACAACGTTTGCAAAAGTAATGGTCATGTGTGAGTGTATCCGATCAAATTGGTATGTTTTCGATAAACTCACCGACTGATTATCTCAAAATTGTTCGGAATGTAATTGCAACTGCATGTTGTTCTGCAATGTCAGTTACTTTGACAATAAATGGAATTTGCTATCTCAAACTCTCTCTCTCTCTCTCTGATATGTTAAAATCTTCACATGTGATGAGGTTTCACATAGAACAAGCAGAAACTGGATTCCTGTATTCAGGATTATGATTTCTACGTTCCTACAGAATAGCAGTTTAAACCATGAAATAAAATGAATTAATGTAGTACTTCATATGTATTTTGTCTTTGAAAGAGGTGGTTCAGCAACTGTTAGAAAGAGACCCAAATACAAAATGTGAAATTTTTATAGTTATTCTTTAGCCAACATATGTGCACCTGTTTACTTTATATTGGACTAAACGAATATCAAGCAAATGATTATAATAACCATCCGAAGATAATATTATAACGAGTAAGAAATGGTCATGACACGAAGTTACCTAAAGGTACTGAAGATCTGCATGTTAAGAAAGTTAAAAAAGGCCAAACACTTGTAGTCACAAAATGGTACTTCTAAATCTATTAATTGAATGTCTCAGTTTCACAGCTATACCTCCAGAAACTAATGAGATAACAACTAGTGCGATTCCTAATAACAGGCCTATTTGTAGCCTGATATGTTCAACAGTGTAATCGATAGAAAAAAGTAAGTTTAGAAGCACGAATCATGACCGATAACCAATGGAAGAAGTGTGTTAAGATCAGATAAGCAACATCGTGATTCAGATAAACTGTTTAGCAGTCAATAGTAAAGTGAAAAATTGCAGATTTTTTAAAATGTAGAAATATTAACGATTATTTACAAACCAAGTTTCTCTCAACCATCTCTATAACATTTATTTTATTGCACTTTCATGTGGTTGTTATGTTCGTTATCCTTAACTCGATGACCGAGGACTAATGGATTAAGTAAGAACTCGGATACGAATGTTCCTGAATGTCCACTTGAGTGGTTGAATTGATTGTAATATGCAGTAGCGTTAAACAAAATCAAAGTACGATCAGATCGAATGGACACAACTGGACTGAAATATTGTTATTACTGGTCTAACACTAAAATTACACCTCTTTGTAATTGAACTTGATTTATATCAACACTGGTACTAGAATATTCACCAGTCGTATTATGATGAGACAAATCCAGGGTTGCAGTAAGTCGATGTAATCCTCATTGTACTAAAATGTAGCCAGAATGTCAATTAGTTAGCGTGTCCCAAATAATTGTAAGTTTATTTAGCGATGAAATATGATCGGCAGATAAATGAGAAATAACAGCTACACAGTAATCCATTGCTTTACACTTGATCTCCAGGTAATGTCAATTTGTTTTGAAAACTTACTTCGAAGTTTGTGACTTATTTACCACTGGGTAATAATAGTGGTTAGTGTTCGCATATAAAGATTATTTCTGACTTTTGAAAACGACAACAGTTTGAAAACGTCTGTTAACTTTCGTGTGCAAATTAGTGGAATGAATATTTTCATCATTTGTACACTAAATCGAGACATTTCAACATGATATCCAACAATGATATTAATTTGCTGAAAATTAACAATATTTAGTTACTTTTATTATTTTAAATCACTCACATCATTACTTCACGAAACTGTTTTTTCTGATATTTGGCTTCTCGGCGATTTTATGGATTTATTTGGTTACGTTCAACCTTCGCCTTCTGATTTACTTGGCACATGTTTCCTGGTAGCGGTGTTCATAGTCAATCTCGACTCGACGCCACCCTACAAGATATTAATTACATAAACTTCCTCATTCACAACATATCTAAGGTTTACAGTGTTTTTCTACTGAGAAAGCTTATATTTGTAGTTTCAAAATTCTCATTTTCCAATGATGTGATTATGAATGCATCTTACTGGAGTATGTAGGTCCGTAATGATGGTCAAGAAAATATTATGAAAAATCAGTCGATGAAAAATGTACTACTTCAATTAATCAGAATATTACAGCTGTTCTGTACATGCACATGTGTAACATGTGTGTATTCACAACTGGAAAAAATTATGCTTTGTTTCAAGCTTTTCATTTTACGATGAATTACGATAAATTACCAGCAAAAAATGACCCAGTTAACCTCAAGACTATGGTCTTCTAGTTCACCGGTGAACAATTATGGTTATTTTGATACCCATGTAATTGTGGTTTATAGACGAAAGAAATAAACGAGAGGTCATGATATAATCGATTTCAGCAGACATGCGCACTACATGAAATGGGAAAACTGGTAGAAATTACCTTAAAAAAATTCATAAAATAATCATATGCAAAGCGGTAATGATAATGATGACAATCATAGTTAAAAACAGTATGATAAAAGCTAACTACTTGGATGGTTTAACTGATAAAGAGTTAAACGTCCTACTTAATAGTGTTAAAATAAGACTACTTATCATAACAGTCGTAAATGAGAAATGAAAATTCGACGATGATTAGATGAATGTTGAATAGATGGTGGATGTCTGTAAAGGTAATAGGTCAAAATAAGCAAACCGAAAACTTCATTTTTTCAAAAATATTTTTCGAAAGTATTAGGAAAAAGGATGGGAGTGAACTTGTAGTGAAGGAGAACACAGGTGAGGACAACCGAATTATATTTAGCACAAAATTACAGAGTTACTTGGTAAAATAGAAAAACCATACTATAATACCTAATTTGCAAAACGTTCAATAATTGTATTGGACTTCATTGTTCTTGCATTTCTATACTGATTGCTTTATAATCCCGTCCTTCCTTTCTTGATCTTCCCAATCTTCTGCTGCTAGACATTACATTCCTGACTCACTTTATATACTACTTATGTCAATATAAGTAGCACGCACCACAAACTGACTAACATGGTTTTTTTGACCATCTTTACCAAATCCCTGATGGTTTTAGAAGTCTGTAATGTGTAAATAATCCAAATTACTTGGGGCTCTTCATTGAAATAGACGATACACTTACGTTGTCTATGTCTTTGAAATGTTATTTGTATCCACTTACCACTTGTGAATTTACAATAATAGTGAAAGAATGTGAGTTTGACACTTCATTCGAAGGTACTACTCCTCTCCAAAATATCAAGAAAGTGATAAAATTAAGTCCTTAAACTGTTTGTACTCTTAATATTGATGCTCGTATTTTCCTACGAGTACATGAAGAAACGGTTTGCTTTGCTGTTTTTAACTATTGAAAGAATTGTGACTGGGATTTATGACAAACGAACTTTTTAAGAACTCAAGTAATTTAAAGCAATTAATCCCTTTTATAAATTTCGATAGGGCAACTCAGTTTTCTAATTGCTCTATCGAAACTCAAGTAATGTCTGCAGAATGAAGCCTAATTCAAAGAACTTGGGTTATCGCGAAATTAACTATCATTCATAAAACATTAGTTAACGATTAACGCTGAATGTTGCAACCATAGTTAACCTTTTAATTAGAGTTCAACTTAGATTTCACAAACAATTCGATGTAAGAAAGTAAAATTGGATACGTTTAACACAAAATAATCAAATATCAACCACCCGACCTTATGTTGTCAAACGAGAAGTTTATATTGACCATATCTCACAACAAATTTACATGTGATACTTTATATTTACAAGACGTACGTACAAAGATCGTATCAAGATTGAAGCGAGGTCAATCAATTTCTCGCAATGAACAAAAGCAAAATTTTACGGCTACTATAAATACATATATATTCTTCAATTTGTATCCATTTTCATAGAAATCTCTTCGTGTACAGACTTTGATGATTGTGTATGCACCAAATCATCTGTTACTGAAGATAGCGAATCATCATCTACAAAAATTGATAATTAAATTAGGTGGCAGTTTATTTTAAATAAGACCTACCCTCGACAATTTTTTGTAAGCCCTTCAGGGCAACCAAAAACAAGTGGAATTGAGTTTTTCTAAGCTGAATTTTTCGGTCGTACTCCTCATTTAAATTCTCCAGTCGTTCTAAAGTAGCTTTTAATTTTTTATACTTCCTGTACACAAACAAAGAAAATTCCTTTTTAACAATATAGTACATTCAAAATACAAAAAAACCATTTTGAAATAACTGACAAATACACTCATCGATAGTTTTACTGACAGCTTGTATACGGACAAAAAGCTAAGCGTATTCATCAACATAGTGAACTATTATTACCAGACCAATGTTTAAAAAAATACAAAGATATTTACTAATAACAATCTACCCAATGCTCAGTTTATTTGGAATTCAGAAAGATATTTACATGTCTGCCGTACAACATATTTGATATCCTAGACACGTTAAAAGTATGGGAAGTGGCAATTTATTTTAACAGCAAAAAAATTACTTCCATCCTGTAGAGTTCAACGGACAGTTATAGACGAATAACGACTTTTGTTTCGATTATTATTTATTTCCATAACAAAAATTAAAATGTACTTCATTTACCAAGTACATATCATTCAGTCGGTAATTCATCTACAAAGTAGGACCAGGCACATATATGCATCGATCGAAATTGCTATGCCTCATTAGCACAACGGGATGAACACCAAATTCATAGAAGTAGTTACTTCAATGGCAGTAATATATACATACATATAAAGGTTGAATAAAAGGATATGATACGGAGAAAAAATTAGTTGATAAAACAGGATTAAGTAATTTTAATCTCACGGTTTAAGGGAAGAAAAAGTGTATACAACTACACCATTGTGATTGATTCTGAGCCATGTCACACAGTCTCCAACCATTGGTTACGATAGTCGCGTGGACCCCAGCCAAGTAGTCTGCATCTACCAACATGGCTCAGATCAGAAGTCAGTAACTTTATGGACTGATACTACATTTTGATTTGACCGCCCGTAACTATTCCATCAGTCTCCAACACTAGTCAGCATTGCCCGCCGTCGTATTTGGTGGTTGGGCATGCGTAATACGTGGCCCAACCATCTCAGTCGATGAAGATTCACAATCCCATCTACTAATTTAACATCATTCCCTATTACCCTGCGCCTAGCCTAACTATTACTTACCCGGTGATCCATCAGGTGCTGGCAATATTTTTAAGACGTCAGTCATTGAATACTAGTGACTTAGGAATATATTCTACCCTTAATGACCACCATTTCGTAACCATAAAGTAGGACAGAACGAAATACTGCACAGTATACTCGTCCTTCAATTGACAGACGGATATCTCGACTTCGACATAGGTAACGTAAGTCGGTAAAAGCCAAACGAGCTTCCTGGATCCATGCAGAGATTTCTTCAGACACCGACCCATTACGACTGATCAGACTTCCAAGATAATTGAAGTTGTCAACGCGTTCGACTACTTCACTCCCTATCCTTAGTTCAGGTGTTGACGCAGGCCAGTCCAGAAGCAACAATTTACATGTAGGGTGGGGGAAACGCACTCCAAATATTCCGGCATTGCTTCCCAGTACTACTAAGAGACTGAATTTTATTAGCGTCTTTACCAAACAGGACTCGGCTTTGAAATACATTTGCATTTGATAGCTAGCGATAATATACTGCTGTCCAAACTGGACAGGGTGGAACACGGTCTAACTGTCGCATAATGGATGAAAACCAAATGTGCTAATCACAAAGCCACCGACCCCTTAATTATCCATTGCTGCACGCTCCAATATCAGACATTTGTAGCCACATTTGTTCTTATGAGGCTTATTGGGTGAATAAATTCACAAATCAGTCAGTCAGTCAGTCAGCAACAACGTAGAACTTCGTACGTACGTACATCAGTTCGAGTTGCCATACCACATTAGCACAGAGATGCAGTTGTCGATTCAAATCCCGTAGTGGTAGAGGTAATAAGAGTATAAGCAGTAATCGGGAAGATTAGGGATAGAGATGTTATTTAAAGAGTATAATACAGTGAAAGAAATTTGGAAAGAGGAAAAAAGGGACACGAATAATTCAGAAGATTAGAATTTGGGAGAACACAAAGAGTGAATGCACCTGCACTCACCACTGCAAACGATTTCGAGCCATGTCATTCAGGGTCTCTAACCATCGGTTGCTATCATCTCGCGGTCCCCAACCAGGTAGTCTACACCTACCAACATGACTCAGTTCACTTGTCAGTGACTTCATGGATTTGTGCCATGTTTTGGTTTGGCCGCCCCTAGCTTTCTTCCAACCTACTCCTATACCACTGAACATAGCACGTCGAGGCAGTCGGTCGTTGGGCATACGTAACACGTGTCCCAGCCATCTCAACTGATGAAGTTTCACTACTTCATCAATTGATTTGCCATCCTTACCTAGTACCTGTTTCCTAACAACTGTGTTAATTACTTATTCACAAATCACTCGTCGGTGACGCCCATTTTATGTATGTAACCGCCTAATAGTTTTCCGGAAAATTATCTAAAATCTCTCAATAGAACAATTCGATGACAAATCACCGTATTCTACAACCGACCACTATATTAACTTGGAAAATGGTCAATAATATGAACACAGATGAACAGGATGAAACTTTTTGTGCTAAGAAAGGTTTTAAAAGGAAGGCGCCTTTTAACTCCAATAATCGATGGAGTTAGAATCTAAGGTAATTTAGATTATAAAATAAAGGAGCACTACGATCATGATGTTGACAACGAAAATTGCAATAAGAAGTTTTCACCTGCTGTATTGACACTGGGGCGTAAGTCGATGAATAGTTCTTCATATAAAGCCACTGCAAAATATAGAAACTTACTCAAGTGTCTCATCTCTCTCTGGATGATCACAAAGAACTTTGGCAAGACTGTCATACTCTGTTGAAATAAGCTAACTATGCACCACATTACCTCGTCTATTTTTCCTGACGGTTTTTGCGGACCTCAGATCTTCTTTACATTGCTGAATGCGATTTTTTGCACTTTCAATGGCCGTTTCTATGAGGATAATTTTCGTAGTTGCAACATACCAATCTCCTTATATAAATCCTCATACTGTTTTTGCTGTTCGTAGTTCATAGCTATTACTAATGACGACTGTTCCATGGCGTTTTCACACTGGTAAACACTAGCTATAAGCGCTTGATAGGCTTCGTAGCTGACCCAAATAAAGATTTCGGAAATCATTTACCCGTCTTCACCAACATCATCAGAAGCTACCCATCGAAGATAATTTTTCAGTAATAGAGTAATTCTGCGATCATCATTTCCACTTTCGCCTTCGATTAAAAGTCTTCTCTTTATGATTTCGTCTATACAAGTTGTAAACCATATAAAAATTATTGTACAACCAAACCATCTGTTACGGTGGACATCTGAAAACACTGAAAATCTTTATAGACTAAGTCGAATTCGCGTCTAGTATACGGACCAAAATTGTAGCCTTGATGATCTATATGGACATAAGAAAAAAGGTTGCACCAATAAGACGTAAAAATACCGAAACCAAGATGAAAATATGATCATAATCAGTTGCAAAGCACTGAACTGAAAATATGTTGCAGGAGAACGCAATATCTGAAATTGTGAAGGGTTTTTATCAAATATCAGTTAACATAGAGCAGAGACCGAATATATATTTTATCATGTCGAAGAAGAAACTTCTCACCAAGGTAGATCAAACCCAAATGCCAGAGTAAATAGTTAATGTAAAGGGAAAACTCTGAACATAAGACACCTAGAACAAAAGGAACAGACAGCAAAAATGGTCGGCCGAATCTAATTGTTATCTTGCCATTAGGACAGACCTTATTGCACCCCCAAATGACGTCAAGTAGTTAGTTTGATAATTCGAGCAGCATATAAACTACCTAACGTATTAATTAACGAAAAATAACAATTCGGAGGCTAAAACCAACAATCCGCAAAAATATTCTGGTTTATTACGTTCTGACCAAAAAGGTAAGGATACGTACAGTAGAAAGAGCTTCCATGTTATTATTTCAGCCAGATTTTTATTATTTTAGATGCTACTCATATGTAGAACGCCACCAGAATACTCTGACCTATAAAAAAATCTGAACGGCACAAAAAAAGACGCCCAAATTTAAAAATTCAGCTTTGAACTTATCCTGGTCATCCTGTTACTTCATACTAACTAAGACAGTGATGTGCTCAAAGCGGTTGCGAAAGCAATGTTTTATTGACGGTTCGGTATGAAGCTTCGAAATTTAACAGACTACGAGCAAGAAAATGAACAGAATCTAGATTAGCACAGAAACCCAACATAAGAGCTTCGCTTTCAATACTTCAGATGGTGTCTAAAAAATCTGGTCTTTCATTCCTGTGGAGCGACAGTGTACCATTCACTAACGGCATATACATATAAACTGGACTGTTTGAGGGTATACGGCATATCAAACAATTATGCCTTAGATTTTACTTGCACTAATATAATCAAACCAAGTTCGAAGATGAGTTATTGTATTAAAAGTAAATGGGTCTACGTACATTACTTGGTGGTAGTATATGGGCGATCCTTGAGCTACTTTGAAGTGGCTAAAAATCTACTTTACTTACAAGTATACTTGTAAAACTTGTGACAAAAAAAATTTAACAATAATAGTGGATGAACAGACTTAACAGGAATAATGAACATTTACACATGAATTGTTAGGATTCACATTATGTGTATATCTCGCACCGAAACCTGATCGGCTCACCCACGTACTTTATTTCTGCTACCAAATTAACAACACGATGAACGATAAGTAGTTTGTAAATTGAAGAGTTTGTGAGTTACAGAAACTGAAAAAGCCAGTGCCTACCTTTGACGAAGTTGTGAATCTCAGGACTCTCTGACCTACAGTTATTAACACTATCCAGTCAAGGTCAGTCTTCACTCATTCGCAATCCTCAATGTCAGGGATTGTTGGTCGGTTAACCTGTGCTAATTCTTGTAGCTCGTTTTCCAGTCGAGATCAAGGTCCTCTTCCAAAGTATTCACTAGTAGGGCTGATGACACTAGCTCGGATAGGTTGGCTCCAAACATTTACCACGGTGAGAAAAACGAACTCTCACTAGCAGTTTATTTGGTCGCAGTTTTTGGATCCTCCTGTATGACATCATAGATGATCAGTTCCGAAGGGAACAGTAAAGTTAAGAAAACTGTAAAACCCAAATAATTACTTAAGATACGGTATGCTATTATAACGTAACTTTATGTTCTACGATTATTTAATGACATACGCCTCGTGGGCTATGGACTGTTAAAAGGGAATCCCTAAACAACTCTGTCCTGGGCTGTCGTTTTGAGTTGTCCTCAAGTACAGCTTATGTGCTATTCTGTCGAAAACATCTCCGGATACTAATAGTGGTTCGATTCCTTTGCAGTCCTAACGCTGACTAAGATCTCCTTTCTTTAGTACCATATTTCCTCCCCTTGCAGCTTTCTCATCTGTCACTGCTAGATCTTCTACGCGTTTTTGCTCGTCTGCTCCAATATCTCTCTCCACACTCTTGTTTGCTCCCATGTATTCCGCCTGTGTCTCTGGTTTTGCTGTTGTTACTTTATGCATTCTTGTTTTTCCTTTCTTGAATCCTGCTCAGAGTATCGACGGAGATTCACTCTTTATGGCGGTGTTTATTGTGACCTAACAGCTCCTAGTAAGTTGGAGCTGGATTTTGACTTATTCCAGAAGCTTTCTTGGGATTGTCGTTTTCTCTAACTTTTGTAGTGTTGTTTGTCTAACTATTCAATGTCTATTTTGTATCAATTCTAATCTGGCCACCACCAGAGGGTGACATGAAGCTGTCAGCTCCTCTCTTTGTCCTCACGTCCTCCATTTATCTTCCGAAGTTTTACTCATCCAGACGTGGTTGATCTGTTTTTCTGTAACTGGAGGCGATAACTCAGTTGAAGCTTGGTTCTTCAACCTTATCGATGACTTGGGATTGTACGAAAATGTGAGGTCGGCAACTCGTTGGAGAAACAGTCAGACGCCATCGCGCTTAGACTGTGTATTCACAAACGAAGAATTTCTAATTGACAACCTCTCAATCCTGGCTCCCCGGGGAAAAAGTAATCATGCCGTCATAGCCTTCAGTTTTGTCACCAAAACTAAGCTAAGATACCCCACCAATATCTCGCGTTGGAATTTTAAACGGTTGAATGTGCCAGCTCTACACGACTATCTACAACAGGTGGTTCGGGATATTCACCCCCAACTCGACGTGGACGGGCATTGGGACTTCTTACTGCACACGCTCTTACGTGCTACAAAATCATTCAGTTCCTCAAACGGTTCCCAAAAGCTGCAAACCACCTACAACAATCAAGAACCGTACCCTTCGCCTGCTAAGCCGAAAAATGCACTGTTGGGCTGAATACAAACGAACTGACAACGACGGAGCGTACAGGCAATACAAACATATCAGGAACACATGCACGAAGGCTATAAGAGAAGACAGGCTTCAGTACCAAACAAAACTTATGGACAAATTCGCCTCTAACCCTAGAAGCCTATTCCGTTATGCAGCCTCTCTTCGTCAAGCCAAAACAGGAGTTTCTCAACTGCTAGGTCTTAACGGCCCGACCAACAACGATGGCGACGCCGCTAACCTTCTGGCGGCCCATTACTCTCAAACATTTCAACCGGCTGACATCAACTTTATTGACGACAGTTTCATCTGCAATTCCACAGGACTTTCTGAAGTGGACCTAAGCGCTGACTTGGTGTTCCGGAAACTGCAGCACTTAAGACTTGACACTTCTCCTGGCCCGGATATGGTTCATCCTGCCATACTAAGGGAGGCAGCCTCAATCCTGGCAACGCCGCTTAGCGTGATGTTTTCACACTCGCTTAGCCGAGGCAAATTACCGGAAAACTGGAAGTTGGCTCACATCACACCAATTTTCAAAGGTGGTCGACGCAGCGAACCTTCAAGTTACCGACCGGTGGCTCTTCTCTCCATACCTTCAAAAATCATGGAGTCCCTGATATGTGATGGTATAAACGACTATTTACTGTCCTTAAATTTCTTCTCACCCCAACAGCATGGTTTCAGGAAGGGCTACTCTTGTGTAACCAACCTGCTGACTGCGGTGGACAGATGGACAAGCATCCTTGATCATAAGGGGAAGGCTGATATCATCTACCTAGACTTTTCAAAAGCTTTTGATAAGGTTAACCATACATGTCTTATCAATAAGCTCAAACGACTAGTTATCATACCACCTCTAATCGATTGGCTCACTTCATACCTGAAAGATCGACATTTTAAGGTCGGGGTTAATTTCACTTTATCTCAGGCTATGGAATATCCTAGTGGGGTCCCCCAGGGCTCAGTACTAGGACCTCTTCTTTTTCTGATCTACATGAATGATCTTCCTCAACAGGTATCGTCAGACTTATTACTTTTTGCCGACGACGTGAAACTTTGGAGAGAGATACACAACCAAGACGATATACAGGCACTCCAGGAGGATCTGACTCGACTTCAAAGTTGGGCAGACGATAACGGACTTACCTTTAACACTTCAAAGTGTAAACTAGTCCATCTGCGACATGTCGCAGACTACAGTTACAACTTAGGAAACTCCTCTCTAGTAGTATCCCAAGTCGAAAAAGATTTAGGAGTCCTGGTGCCCCATGATTTGAAGTCTTATGCTAACTGTGACAAAAATGCCTTCCGAGCAAACCTTGCACTGGTAACGTTGAGGCGAATTTTTGGCCAGTTTGACGGAAGAACTTTCCACACAATCTTCAATAGTTTCATCCGTCCCCATTTAGAGTACGGAAACATAGTACTCCCCCCCTCACTCCAAAAGGACAAGGTCACTTTGGAGCGTATCCAACGGCGAGCCACGAAATCAGTTCGAGGACTCAAATCTAAACCTTACGAAGAACGCCTCCGTTCACTAGACCTTTACCCATTAGAGTATAGGCGTCATGGAGGTGATCTTCTGATAGCTTATAGCATCCTTAGCACTTCTGGACACCTACTTAAGCTTACTTCGAATAATAACCCAAAGGGTAACACCCAGAAACTGGAAACACAACATAGCAAGACGGAATGTAGACACAACTTCTACTCCTTAAGAGTTGTCAAAAGCTGGAATTCGCTGCCGGCCGAGCTAGTCCAAGCCACTTCTCAGTAGTCCTTCAAGAGGCAACTTGACCTATTCTTAAGGACCAAGGACAGCATCACACTATGAATTACCAATTTCTTTTCCTCTTTTATTGTTAACATACCTAGGTTCCTGCCTGGAGGATTTGGTGATCCCCTGCTACTAGACACGGAAGCCTGTTAAGCGAAAGCTTCTTATATTCCGTCCACGACCATTTGAACCATTTGATTCGGTCAAGCCCATGTAGCTTTGCATATACACTTGTAGGGAAGAATACAACTAACCACAACCATTTTGTTTAGAGCACAAGTTTATCAGTCGGTCAATACTGTTGGTCCTCTCTTCAAACCTCTGTCACCCCATTATACGTCTTTACTCAGTTCCTCCCATCCTGACTCGACGTTCAGGTCCTCCATCAGTATAGCCACGTTTCTCCCTGTGCATTTCTATGTGATAAACTGGAGTCTCTGGTAAAAAGTGACTTTATCATTTTCACTGCCACAATTTGTGGGTGGGCAACACTGGACAACAGTCGTCGTGATCTCTTCCTTGTTTGTCTTGAAAGATGCTTTGGTGATTCTGGGGCGTGGGTTTCCCGTCTTCTAAACTCTTTTCGTTTTTCTGACAGAGTTGGAAGAAATAATTGCTTGTGAGAGATTTTCATCCTCATGATCAGAATACAGCAGAAACTCTCTTAAAGTCACTCTTTTCCTTACAGACGCAGTCCACTGAATTTCTCTTCGTTCACTTCACTTTAAAAATGGCTAAGTTATATCTCTACACTCTTGCAGCTATTTAAATGGGTCAGTAGACCTCCCGGTGTACGTTCGCGCGATCAGACCATATTACTTGTTACTCTGGTTGCTAAAGAGGTCACCAACCTTGTGATATCCTATAGACTTCGGCTTTCATAGCGAAGCGTCACAACTCTGCTATGTGAAGACACATCAACTACCAGGAGAGAGTTTAAATGGTCTAAATGAATCTAGCAGTAACCGCTGTTCTACCAAGGTGTTGGGATATTCAGGAAAATATCCCCAAAATTATCATGTTAAGCCTAATGCTATCCTTGGACATGAAATGGTATCATCTTATTGGTCAATATTTATTTAACGTGTTATTTTCCTGTTGGCCATTATTGTACAATGTTATCTTCTATTTTATGGTACGTTGTGGTTTGCTTGACTGGTATATAAACAAAGTATGTTTGAAATATAATGTTTCATATATCCGAGGCTGTGACTTGCGTTCTGGACTCAATTGGCTGGGCTGTACAGGGAAGCGAGACCAATCAGAACCCTAGGTCGTTCTACGTGTTTGCGCGTCTTTGGTCCGATCAATAATTCGCTATCCCTTAATCAGCAATTATTTTTCACGTTATAACACAAGGTTCCCGTCTTATGAAATAAAGTTTCCGACAAAAGCTAAATTCCCTCTTTTACCTGTGTCGACACATGCGTTAACAGAAGAACGGCTCCATGCAGAGTTGAACATGAGATCATAGCGTTCAACAGCCAACCATCATTTCTGAATACTGTATTACTCAGAAGTTTTTGAATTTGATATGCCAACTAACGATATCTAGAACAGCTTAAATCAAATTCTAGTAACCAAGTGCAGACTGGTACCAATGTCAAAGAAGACATTGTGAGATAATTAGACGTAATGTAATGAGACTTCAAACCAGGCACGAAACTGTGCACGAAAAATCAACACTTATTATAAACAACACACATGAACATAGAAAGATACGGATAAAAGAGGCTGGAATCCTTACAGAATTGACATACACTTGGAACTTATAACACCTTGAACTATAAATTAAGAACCTAGAAGTTTGAAAATGTGACATCAAGTTATTTAGACTTCTAAATCATTTCCATGATTCTCGTTCACCATACAGTCAAAAGATGCTGTCATACAATGTCGTACCATTCAGTGAATCATAGTAACAGTAAGATCCATTTTGAAGGTTTTATGTGTTGGTGAAAATCCCTCCATGTATATACTTGTACTTTATTCCTATTGATCACATTAGTTGTACATTGTTGTATTTTGATTACATTTGAATTGTTAATATTTGTATTTTTGTTATAGTTTTTGTTTTTATTACGCATTCACTAAGTTTGTGTTTCTTCCTGAACTGCATCTGCGTTGTTTTAGTTGACACTTGTTCTTGGCGGTAGCCATATTGATTTGTTCCTCCTGTTGTGTGTGATCTATCCAGTCAGGATAGAATAACGTTCATTTGTTGTAACTGATTTAATTGATTGAACAATCATTGGTTGAACAGCCGGGTGATAATATTTGTTTAGAACCGCTAGTTACCCGATCACTTGTTCTGATTTCGACGGGAAAGGGCGCGTGTCTAAAGTCCCCGATAGGCTATTCTTAACATCCAAACCGTAGTTTGGATCCTACAGTTACTAACTACAAATGTCAAATAACTAAGAATCAACAACAATACTACCCACTCTATAAGATCAAACCTCTGTCGATTAGAATCGAGTTGTACAATAGGGTTGTGCAACGCAACAAAGAGTAGTAGCCAATGATTGCACCACTCTACAATCTTGAGTTCGTTAATGCACAACCCATTGACAACATTGCAGTCTCATACAATAACAGAATAACGACCGTATGATGAATACTGAATAGAGTTAAATTATAAATTTTCAGTGAAGGAAGATTGATGAATATTAAAATATTGCTGAACAATTCTTGAAAAATAGTTGACATGTGCAGTGGTAGAAGGGAGAGATAAATTCAAGAATAAGTAGCCATACTGTCAAATAAGACACTTCAGAAGTGATTTTCAAAAGACTAGTTCTGCTGTACACATGTAAATCATTGTATGTTGTTTCGCATTGTGAATTGCAATTGGGGAAACCGTAAGGACGTTTGAATTAGTAGATCTGCTTCTGTTGTCAGGATTAACACAGGTCTCTCAGCCTCCTGTTGTTGACGATTGAAACTATTCCGTTTTCAAACATGCACTACCATGACATATGGTAATGAATACTGTATCAGTACAACGCATTTTGACTAAAGGAATGTTACACATAATATAACACTACTAGAGATACAATTTTGCGTTCAACAAGTTTATAACTGATTACAGTCGAATATAAATATTTCAATATCATCATGATATTGACCAACTGTTCATTTATTCGCTAGAGCATAATTGCAAGTATTTATTAATATACTCTGGTGTCAGCAAGTAAAAATTGAACCTGAAAAATCCGACAACTCATTTCTGTCAAGTCATATGAGAGAAGTGTTGCTATAAAATGTAACACCGACTTAGGCATATATTAATTTGAACTTCAAGTTTTTTAGACTGATAATTTGATTATGTATGCAACTCGACGCAGACAGTTCGGAATTATTTTATGGAAAGTTCCTTCTTATTAAGAGGTTATATTTAATACATCATATGATTATAAATATACTCACACTAAACTTTGATCTCCTGTTCTTCACTTCTTCATTTATTTCCACAAGATATCCACACTCCCACAAAGCGTGCAGTCATATTCACAAATCGAAAGCATCTGTTTGTCCATCGTAACTTTATTCTCCAGTTTTCGACTGGTCAAACTCTGCCATTCGGTACTGTTGTAATTGTGTGCAACTGCCCTCATTGTTGCAGAAGTAGGGTAATAATAACGAAACGGATGCAGTGTGAAGTGAAAATTGCGAATTTAAGTGTATCGATTTCCTCATGGTTGTGACTGCACGTTTTTGTTGACTTTACTCAGCGGCTGAACCCATCTTCACAATATTCTGTTTACTGCTTATATCGAATCAGCAAAAGTCGTACTTCAACATCGCCAATTCAATGTTTGCTTGCAAGTCATTTTGGTCGCAGTTAGCGTAAGACTTTAAATCATTGGGTAAAAGTACTTCTAGATCTTTCTCAATTTGAGATATCTCGAGGGTGGAGTTGCTTAAGTTGTATTCGTAGTCGACCACATGTCTAAGATGGACTACTTTAAAATTAGAAGTGCGAAAAGTAATAAATCAGACGACACCAGCTGTGGGAAACCGTTTATATAAATCCATAAGTGAAGAAGTACTAGTACTGAACCCTTGGGGATCCCACTACAACGTTCCACAGCCTGAGAAAAAGTAGGATTAATTCTGACCTTAAAACACCAAATTTTTAGATACGAAGTGAGCTAATCCATTAAAGGTGATTTGATACTTAATCGTTTGAGATTATCGGTAAGACATACATGAATGACCCTATCAAAAGCTTCTGAGAAGTCAAGGCGAATGACGTCAACCTTCCCCTTGCTATCAAGGATGATTGTTCATTTGTCCACTTTAGTCAACAGGTTGGATATACAAAAGTAACCGTTTCTGAAACCGTACTGTTGGGGTGAAAAGAAATTTATGATAATTAACTCGCCACTTAGACCGTCACATATCAGGAACTCCATAATTTCTGAGGGCATAGAGAGAAGTGCAACTGGTCGGTAGCTTGAAGATTCGCTGAGTCAACCTTCTTTGAAAATTGATGGAATGTGAGTTAGCTCCCCATTTTCTGGAAACAAGCCTCAACTTAGCGAATGTGAGAATATAACGCTAAGCGGTGTTGCCAAAATTAAAGCTACTTCACTCAGTTGCAGACTCGTCCATATCCGGACTAGGAGGTGTCCTTTGTCGGAGCTGTAGTTTCCAGTATACAAAGGCAGCGCTCAAGTTCACTTCTATAAGTCCCTTGGAGTTGCAGGTGAAGCTCTTGTCAGTACAATTAATGTGGGTTACCTGCTTTGCCATCGTTGCAGGTTGGACTGCTAGGACTTAACAATTGAGAAACTCATGTTTTGGCTTGTCGAAGGAGGCTGCATGAGGCAGTAAGCTTTTCGGATTGAGAAAAATTTACCGATAAGCTTCATGTGGTACTGAAATCTGTTTTCTTTATTGTCTTTGTGCATTTGTTCTCTGGTTGTTTAAATTGCCTGGATGCACTGCTGTTACCAGTCCATTTGCATTCTACTCAGTAGTGCGTTTCGCGGCTTAACAAATGAAGAGTGCGGTTCTTGAAAACTGTAGATTGCAATTTTTTGGACTATTTTAGGGACACACTGCCTTGTAGCACATAATATAATATGAAGTGAGAAATCCCAATGAGCATCCATATCAAGTTGAGTGTGAACTTCTCAGTCCATCTGCTGTATATTATCCAGTAGAGCTGATACATCAAACCGTACGGAATTCCAGTGACTGTTGATGCCAAGATGTCTGAGCAAAGTTTTTGTGATAAGACTCAAGACTATGATGGCACGACCAATTTACCCAGAGGAGCCAAAATTGAGCGGCTGTTCATTAGGAATTCTTTGTTTGTAAATACGCAGTCTAAGAGCGACGGCGTCTGACTGTTTCTCAAACGAGTTGCCGACTTCACATTTTAGAATAATCCCAAGTCTTCAATCAGGTTGGAGAACCAAGCCTCAGTGGAGTTGTCACGTCTAATGTTGGAGAGTTCAGCGAAGTTGATTTTACGAAGATCAAAGTCTCCTAGAATCATGATATGAGTGAATCCGAGACGAGTTACTTAATTAATTACTCACTTACTTACTTGCACCTGTTACTCCTGGTGAATGAGCACAAGCCGCTCACCAGAATTCTTCATCCAACCCTGTCCTGGGCAATCCTTTCCAGCTCCTTCCAGTTCCTATTCATCCTTTTCATATCTGCCTCTATTTCTCGACTTATTGTGTCATTTAGCTTCGCCATTTTCCGTTTACCCTCAGGATTCCAAGTTAGGGCTTGTCTCGTGATGTGGTTTGACGATTCGCGTAATGTATGTCCTATCCATTTCCATCGTCTTTTCCCGATTTCCTCTTCAGGTGGAAGCTGGTTGGTTCTCTCCCACATAAGGCTGTTGTTGATGGTACCCGGCCAATGGATATTGAGTATCTTGCGTAGACAGCTATTTATAAATACTTGTACATTCTTGATTGTGGTTGTTGTAGTTCTCCAAGTTTCAGCTCCATACAGTAAAACTGCCTCGACGTTCGTATTGAAGATTCTCACTTTGATATTGGTTGAAAGTTGTTTTGAGTTCCATATGTTCTTCAATTGTAGGAATGCGACCCTTGCTTTGCCAATCCTTACCTTTACGTCTGCATCTGAACCTCCTTGTCCATCGACGATGCTTCCTAGGTATGTGAAGGACTCTACATCTTCCAGAGTTTCGCCATCAATAGTGATTGGATTACTGTTCTCCGTGTTGCATTTGAGGATCTCGGTTTTCCCCTTGTGTATGTTGAAACCTACTGATGCAGAGACTGCTGCTACACTGGCTATACTCATCTGCATAAGCCTTGCAGTATCCCAAATAATGGTTTGCGTCCAACTAATGCTTTTTACTATCAATCAAATGTTCTCAAGTATCCGTAGTGGGTCTTGAATTTCTTGCTCTGTTCATGCGAACATAACCGGTGATCTACGACCACAGTTATCAGTTGTCGTTGTCTGAAGGGTTTATAATTATTGAAATTGCATAATCCAAACACTTTTAGTCAGCTTTCCTTGTCAATGTTGTGTGTAAACTGTTTCTGCACACAACTTTTGGAAAACGCATTAACGTCCATATTTTGCCACTGGTATTGTGTATTTTTCTTGTCACCTGGTTAGTCTCCTCATCATATTGCTTATTTACATTTCAAATAATGTGCAATGCAGGCAAAATGTTGCTAAAATTATTGAAACCAAAGAGTATGTAGTCGTGAGTCGGAGTGAAAATTTAACGGACTTCTTAAAATTCTTGATATAATTTTCTTGTATATTTCTACTTCATGTTTAACATTCTGCTCTTGATCAGCTGCCGTGTGGTGAATGTAAAGTAAGTGGGGATGACCAATTTATTATTTAACGTACCAATATGCAGTGGTTTAATAAGGTGTGAAAATCACATATCAAACACATCATTTGCATATCTTCTTGGAGTTGTCACTTACAAGTTTCATTGACCCTCACTTCTTGTCGTTACCTGGGTTTCTTTCAGTACCCATCTCACCTCCCTTCATTTCAAACTTCTCAACGTTTTTCTCGCAAACATTCTACTCCTAACAGGTGTTGCATACTGCTTGTATTTGTTAACATAAGTAACAATAAATCGTTGGAACCGTGAGTTAATTCTCAATAGTCAATCTTAGAGCACCCACAATCTTCCAGGTCGAGACTGCTAGTTGTTTTCGCACTATATGGGTTAGTTAGACTTTTCACCATTTTAGCCCCTCGCCATTTTACTTGTTCTAGCAAATCCTGTTTATACTGTAAACAAAGTATCACCGTTTGAATCTCATTCTCCAAAGTTCTAGTATAATACGTTCTCACTAAAAGTATTATTTGATATCCAGCTATCAACTAACTCAACCAGTAATTGTAAGTCTTCTTATCACAACCTCTCAAAGTTGGTGGAAGTTCAAATGCTACGCTACTGAAGTTGATGGTCGTTTTCCGTTGGGCGTTAACATATAGGCCTTTTGATGCTGGAGTCAAAGTTTGTACTTATAATTGAGGTATTTTGAAGTTTCAGAGGCTTACGCACTCAAGTGTCTACTTGTCACGTCTTCCAGACCACGACTCTAAGGAGCTTTTACAAAATGCCCTTAAGGATTTACGCTTAATTGTATCTGAAATAAAACACGTAGTTTCTTGCTCAGCCTTATCAGTATTTTCGCATCATAGAGTCTATGTCCAGCTTTTCCAGCATTCCAAGATTTGCTACGCTATCAGTTTGAATCTCAGGGAAAGCTTGTTCGTCCATTGCTTGTTACTCTCGCAGCAGCGTGCGCAAATTCACACATAGAATGCAACACTCCCCTTATTGTGAGATATGATTCACCTGTATCAAGCCATGCTAGGAATCTGGGTAAGTTTTGTATGTATTTTACTTTGAAATGGATTTATTTAGCATATTTAGTCTCTCCCAAACAACATGAGATTGCCAAAATCACAGAAATGATCCATACAGCAAGTCTTATCCACGATGACTTGATTGACTCAGCACCTGTCCGAAGAGGGAAAACGTCGGCTTATAAAGCCTTTGGACATAGAGAGGTTAGTTAACATTACTGTGCAAATCGTGATGATCTAAAAAAAATTAAATAGGTTGATAGACCTCCTATCCTTATGACTGAAGACTAATCGACAGCTCTAGAAGAGTTACTCTCAGTTGTTCTAGACGAAACAAAGTTCAGTGTCGTTACTATGGGACATGCAACCGAATGCTACCACCTTCAAACGTTGTTTCGCTCTAGGAATGGGCTCTTTACAATTTGTTTTTATTGATTAAATGATATGCTGTCATTTTTCATATATTGACATGCAGGTGTGGTTGGTAGGCGTTGTTATTTTATGTAAGAGATGAAAACATTTTGGCTCTTGTTATGTATTACTAAAGTTAAAGGTGCTGTACTCCTTCCAAGACATCAAATCAGCAAAAAACGTATGTGGGGAAACAAAAACGTAACTAGCTTGCACTAGTTCATTTCGTGTTTTTCTTTACCACCAAAGCAAATTTGAAGTTGTACAGTTTAGTGTATTCGTATCACTAGTCTGCAACAACAGTTTGAGAATACCTTGATGCAGTTTAACGAACAATATAAGTTATGTGCAAATAACAGTTGTTTTGGAAATATCCAGGAACAAACTTCATCCACAATTTGTGTAGAATCTGTTAAAAATGTGGATCAGCTCAAGTTGCCGAATCAAATCAGCGCAACAGCTAAAAATTAACAGGATGAGCAGCAAAATGCTTCAAACAATAACATAAATAATTGTGAGAAAGACTAATCACTTAGAATGTTGAAAAAAAAATTGTTTGAGTGAATTATGAAAAACAATGTCTGGGGCAACGTGAGGAGAAAATGTATTTGCTTCACGGCGAACAACTCTAAGCCATGTCACCTAATATCAACCACCGATCATGACTCGCGAACCACAACCACGCAGTTTACATCTACAACTACTAAGCTTCAAAAACTAATTTTGTTGTCATATAAAATAATTCATGTTGCAGAGGATTTCAACCACCTTTGTTTGTAAGTAATAAATTTAACGGCTTATATTTTCCCTTATACTTCAGTCGTTATCAGGTGAACGTCATACATAAGGGCAAACGGCTTTTCTACATTATTGTCTAAACCAATCCATATTTTCCATTGTGCACATAGTATATCAGTTCTAGCTTTTTGTTAACGCAAATTTCGCAAGTCCCTAAGTGCATTATTCAAAAATGTTTTCACGCTTTTTCTCCAGGCAATTTTGGGAGGCGACTTCATACTGACTCATTCATCTCGTTTATTAGCCCAGATAGGAGATACTGGAGTGATAGCTGTTCTTTCTCAAGTTATTGAAGATCTCATTCATGGTTCGTCTCTGCTTATTCCATGTTAATCACCTTTCGTTTATAGGCGAAATGATGCAGCTTGCACCCAACAGCGATGATGATGATAGAAGGTTTCAAACTTATCTGACGAAAACCTACCGAAAAACAGCGAGTCTTATTGCTAACAGCTGTAAAGCAGTAAGCTTATATATATATATATATATATATATATATATATATATATATATATATATATAGTATTTCTAGTTTATGAATTTGATAGCTTTTAGATTTATTGAGTACTAATGCAGGCAAAATCAGTCATTAGTTCAGGACCATTATACCAATCTCTTCCACAAAGTTTTCATCCTCCTTAAGTGTTCATATAATACGTACATCAAATAAGTTATGAATAGGAAACTACACACTACACTAGTCGAGTCAGAGCTTATGGAGAACGGTCATCTGCTTTTGTAACCTCAAGTGGTGTCCGTCAAGGCTGTCCACTATCTCCACTTTTGTTTAACTTCATCATAGACCTTAAGTAAATAACTTTCTCGTCGACTGAATTGATCTCCCACCAGGAAGTCCACTTGTCGACTTGGAATACGCAGATGACATAGTCCTGTTTGGTGAAGACGCTGACAAAATGCAGAGTCGTTTGGTAGCCCTAAGCAACAATGCCAGGATGTTTGGAATGAGCTTCTCTCCTTCTAAATGCAAGTTGTTGCTTCAGGACTGGTCTGCGTCAACACCTGAACTAAGGATAGGGAGTGAAGTAGTCGAACGCGTTGGCAACTTCACTGATCTTGGAATTCTGATCAGCCCTAATGGGTTGGTGTCTGACGAAATCTCAGCACGGATTCAGATAGCTCGTTTGGCTTTTGCCAACTTACGTCACCTATGGCGAAGTCGAGACATCTGTCTTTCAACCAAATGACGAGTATACTGCACGACAGTTCGTTCTGTTTTACTTTATGATTGCTAAACGTGGCCATTAAAAGTAGAATACAGTCGTAAGCTACTAGTGTTTGACCACAGATGCCTTAGTAATTTTGCTCGCATCTGTTGGGATCACTGGGTAAGTAATGTTGAGGTTAGACGCAGAGTACTAGGGAATGATGGTTAATCAGTTGATGAGGTTGAAATTCTTCATCGACTGAGATGGTTGGGCCACGTCTTGCGTATGCCTGAACACCGATTACCACGACGTGCAATGCTAACGGTGTTGGGGATGGTTGGAAGAAAGTTAGGGCCGGCCGAAGCAAAACGTGGCATCGGTGCTTGAAGTCACTAACTTCTGACCTGAGCATTGTTGGGAGATGCAGACTACTTGATTGGGGTCCGCGTGACTATCGTGACCAATGGTTGGAGATTCTGGGTGACATGGCTCAGAATCAATCACAATGGCGTAGGTGTATACACTCTTTTTCTTCCCTGATCTAAATTAGTGATGGTCAAAATAAGTCATGTAGGTATTACCATGACCACATTCTGAGTTACGGTGTCTTGTTAATAGTTCACTGGAATCACGTTACAATAGTTCTTCATTCAGTTTGTCATCTACTAAAGATTTTTAATTTTTATAGTTGTTACAGTAAATAATCATCCTAATTTGAAAAGCTGTCGACGATCTATCTCTGTTTGGTTTTCAGTACTGACGACAAAAAAATCTACTGATAAGCAAAATTGGGATTTATCACCGAATGGTAATGCTGTAATCAAAACACTTAGTGTTGAAAGTCACATCAAGATTAAACCGAATTATGTATGACGAGTTGTTATCAGTAAATGTCTTAGCCCACATATCTTCCAGTTTTCGTATCATCTGAAATTATAGGAGATAATTGACAGGTTTCGTGTATATCTCTGTGGTTATTGTAAAAAGTTTACTTTCTATTCCTTGGCTAGACTGAAAATTTCGTTTTAGGTTGCTATGTTGACTGTCCCAACGCTATCACAGCGGCACATTGATAATATGTACGAATTTGGCAAACATTTGGGAATGGCATTTCAATTAATCGATGATGTTTTGGACTTTGTAACTGATGAGGCGAACCTGGGCAAACCTAGTGGGGCAGACCTACAAATGGGTCTTGCAACGGGACCCGTGTTATTTGCTGCCCAAAGAGTAAGTTCTGATTAAATAGGTAGTTAGGTTACCATCATACATGGTCTGTATTTAGATTTTGTCTACTATGAATGATAACTTCAGCTCCAAAAAATTATCTACGCTTCAATCCTCATCCTCATAAATTACACTCACAACCATTCAATAACATTCGTTGCTATTTGATATTGCGTCACTAGTATATTCCCATTTTTGTGTATTCCTTTATTTTGCAACTCATACAACACCTTGCGTATGGTCTAAAACATGTCCTATCTAAACGATCTCGGGTCACTAACTGGTCGAAGGTTGAATGCCACCACCGAATACGAATTCTGACGCAGCCTTTCTGAAACCATGTATGCCATTCAGACTACCCTCCTTTAACGTTGGTACACTAATCCAGATTAAAAAACAGACTGGGTTGACTATTTCTTTAGAAAGTCTTAACATCGATGTCTGCTGTATATCTAAGACCCACACTCAAGACTAGTGAATTGCTACAAATTCTCTCTTCATCTATTGCTTCGAAAGGCTTGTCTTACTTGCGTTTATCTGGGGACCCTGTGGTATTTCCGTCAGTTTTTGCTAGCGTCAGTGTCACACTAAGCGCTAGAGTTGAGGTAGCACTAACCGATTAGATCCCTATTAACAGTCAATTGTGTACTGTTAGTATTGTGGACCGACTGACTAACTTCAGATATCCCAGTACGAACCCAATACTGTTCCCCAATCTCCAATATATCAGAACACAAATTCATTTACAGACGCCGTTTCACCTTGCTCACAAACAATAAGCCGTTGTTACCAATCTTTGAATCAAAGAAAGGCATTCCTACCCATTCTGCTAATCGTCTTCAACGTTGGGCGTTGGCGTTATTGGGGTACGACTTCGACATCCAGTATAGACGTTCCGAAGATTTCGGTCAAGCAGATGCACTGTCCAGACTTATCAGTAACCATTCTACCACTGATGAGGACACACTCATAGCCATAATATCAACGGAAGAGGATTCCGGTGCTACACTATTAGCAAATGCCGTTCGAGCAATGCCTGTTACCGCTGAAGATGTTCGGGAAGCTAACATAGAAGACCCGATTATCCAAGAAGCGATCACCTATGTTCAAAGCAGACGGTCAGTTAAGAAGTTGAGTAGTGATATGCAACAACTAGCGAGTCGTCGCAGCGCCCTCTGTGTTGTTAACGATTGTCTGATGTTCGGTGATCGCGTAGTAATTCCAACAACCCTACGTTACAAGGTCCTGCGCCATTTTCACTCTGGACACCCAGGGATAAACCGTATGAAATCCATCGCTCGCAGCTAGGCATTTTGACCGAACATGGACAAGCAGATTGTCGACTTCGTCAAAGATGTTCATATTGTCAAACAGCTGCGAAAAATCCCCCTAAGTTGCCTCCAGTACCTTGGTCTCAAGTGCATATTGACTTCAACGGACCCCCAGATGGTACTACATATACGATACTGGTTGACTCTCACTCCAAATGGCCGGAGATATTGCCAATTGCGCCGCCCTCTACAACTCGAACCATCAAACTCCTTAATCAGATCTTCGCTCAGCATGGTCTCCCAGAAACAATAATAACAGACAATGGTTCACAGTTCACATCAAGACAATTCCGAGAAGTTCGCCTGCAAAACTCGGTCAACCATGTCCGTTCGCCGCCATATCATCCGCAATATAATGGACAACCTGAGACGTTCGTTGATACATCTAAACGAGCCATGCTTAAAGCACGAGGGGAGGGGACCACAGAAGATATCATAGAACATCCTTCTGGTTCTGGGTGGTTACCTTGGAGGTCGGATCGCAAACTAAGACACCCAAAGAAATTTCAAGTAAACCTTCGGTTACGTCGCTATTAACTTTTCCAAAGGAAGGTGTTGGGATATTCAGAAGAATATCCCAAAAATTATCCTGTTAAGTCTAATGCTTTCCTCGAACGTGAAACGGTGTCATTTTCCTATTGGTCTATATTTATTTCACGTGTCGTTTTCCTACTGGTCAATATTTATTTCACGTGTCATTTCCCTGTTGGTCAATATTCACGGTAGTCCTAACTGTATAAATATGCATTTGTCTGTTAAGTATCATTCTTATTCTTCTCCTGACCCCATAAACAATTTCATCTACGGTTCGTGTTGTGATATATTGGAGATCGGGGAACATTATCGGGGTCGTACTGGGATATCTGAAGTTGGTCAGTCGGTAGAAATTAGAGTAGCCACCCCGCGGTCCACAATACACGTGAAATAAATATTGACCAATAGAAAAATGACACCATTTCACGTTCAAGGATAATATTAGACTTAACAGGATAATTCTTGGGATATTTTTGTGAATATCCCAACAGTTATAGTAGAAAGCTCTATCAAATTGAGGAGTCGGTGTAAGAAAAAATGTCTTTTTATTATCTCGTCCTACATATCTCCGACAGATTGCAGCCGTGTTTCAGTCAAGGAGGAGTTCTTCCGCCAAAAATTACATTGGACAGATATTATAGTACTAACCACAGATTTATATACGCAGGTCGGTTTCCTAGACACAGGAGAGTCGTTTGGGTGGTCAATAAAAACTCGTTGGTCTCAGCTCAATTAACGGCGATCGTCTACTACAGTTTTGCTCAGACTACAATCTGTTTTTAGCTAGCACTACCACCACTCCGGCTAAAACGCTGGACATTCACTTTCCAGTTACGTAACTGACACCCCTGCCACGAGAAGGCAGTGAGCAGGAATTCCCCGGCAGTGGCGTTATATGCGTGGCTGTGTAAGGACATTTTGAGAGGGAGAGCAGACTCTCTCCATCCTAAAGTGTACCAGGTTATTTGGGGACGACTATCGACAAAGTCATTTCCGATATGCTACCTGGCATACCTGTTTATCTCAAGTCTGGACTCAGATTGATCACATTGTGATCAGCCAACCCTGGGGTGCATATGTACAATACTTCCGCTCCCTTTGCAGTACGTATCTAAACTCTAATCATGTCCCTGTTTGCGCTAATCTCGTCTTACTTTTCAATGGCTAACAAATTCATCATCTTAAATGGATCGATGTGAACAAACTGGCTACATCTGTCCTAACTGAATATCAAACTGAGCTAAGTTTAATGCTTGCTATGAACTGACTGAAAAGTATAGTCGAGCTTTGGTACGGCTTCGCGAATTACGACGAAGTCTTTAGAGGCTATAAAGAAGCCGAAGAGATTCCATCCGATCAGAATTCGATAGAGTCTTCTAGAATATCAGTGTGGCATGCTATGATTGGATGGTGGCATAACTTGCCTCCTTGTGGATTAGCTGGATTTTAATGATGTTCTAGCCAATATTAATAACCATAAAAATACCCGTTTATTTCTGTACATTTTTGATTCTTACCGCATAGTCACTTCCCTTGCTTCTTTTGTCTTCGGATTTGCGACAGTGGGGTTCTATACATTCAAGTGCCGTTATTTGTATATCGTACTCTGCCGTAATCAAGTTGAGAACGTGATAATGAGCACTCGCAATACTTGTATGACGACACTGAAATGACGAATAGAGCCTCTTGAGGCTTCGCGGAATATCCCACTTAAGAGCACTGAGTTTCTACGAGCTCTCTGCAATTCATTGAGGCAAGTCGGTCTACTTGGGCTAACCACGAGCTTGACGACGAATATAGGTTGTTACGTAATGAAATTGTACAAAGTTTGCATGAGGACCGAAAAACGTGGTGATCAGAACGTGCTAACGAGTTGGAAGCAACAGCTGCATCTGGTAACTTCCGGAAGCCTTTTTAACTCATCCGAGCCACCGGCAGCAAGAAGTCTGTTGGGGTTGAAGAAACTTGTGAAGCTTACTGGACTCCAGTCAGTCAATATCAACATCTATTGGTGTCTTGGACGATGGACTATCTACTGGAACCTTGCACAAACTACACCTTGTTTCTGGCTAGCACTAACTGCTGTCACGGCGACCTCAATAAACTGTTCTGTCCTCCAGATGGTGAAGATTTGTGGCTCAGGTGGATGATTTTGATGAAGATTTGTTCTCTTAGATGGATGGTTTAATCGTGGGGCTTTCATCGTTCATCTGAACACTACACTTCTACCTGAAGTTTGTACTGATGATGTCTTTCGGAAGAACGATGAAAGCTCCACGACCAAACCATCTAGCTCAGAGAACAAAACTCCATCAATATGTTCTGTCCTCCCTGGCCAGTATCGACTGATCCACCTAATGAGGCAGAAGTTTACAAGCAACTCCAACTCTTGGAGGTCCACAAATCACTTGGCCCAGATGACTTTCTTCCGGCCCTCTTCAAGTATTGTGGCGACCTTCTGGTTGTTAAACTGACTGAATTGTTTAAAAAAGTTTGGGAATGAAAAAGTTTATAGTTGTTCCTATCTTTAAAAAACCTTTGCATCTATGCAAAAACTATCGGGGTATAAGTCTACTTCCAATCGTGTCCGAATTATTGGTTTCCTTCGCTTCCCGCCAAATGTTAGAACATTAGCATAATTATTACGAACCAACAATCGTTGTGTTTCTTGACATCAGAGCTACCTTCATTTTGTTGGACAGGACTGTTCTCTGGGATTGTCTATTGAATAAAGGTGTGCCTGAGAAGTTTATTAACAGACTTTTCATCCTTTAGTATGAGGATTACATTATCTAACTGTCAGATGATACTCAGGTTATGCAGTCCGCACTTAATCAGCTAGCAGTCAGTGAACGTTTGTTTGGCGTGTGTATTTCACCCTCAAAGTATAAAGTACTTTTACATGACTGGCTGGACTCTGTGCCGATACTAACTTTCGGTAGTGAGCAATTAGTAGTAGTCAAGAAGCTTGTGTATCCAAGTAGCTGTGTAAATGTTAGTGGTGTGCACGAGTGATGTGGTCACTTCACGTGTAGTGAAAGCTATAGCGGATTATCCTCTTACGATTTAAATATCATTATCTCACCGATTACTGAAATTAACAGGTCACTCACATTCCTATTGTAATAGAAAAAACGAATATCGATTGTTATTGTCAAAATATTGTAAATAGTGTAATGTACGACTAAAGTTTAATCTCATTCAAATGTTACGAAACCCAATGCTTGATTTTATTGAATCAGAGTAAACAAATTGCCATCATAATGAATTTACTTATCTAAATCCACCTATCATTCCAACATCTTACTATTTTTTAAAGCATTATAACTTCAAATATTATATATAAATTTCCGAAATTGAATTTCACTGTAAACATAATAGTTTACAAAATGATTTGCACATATTTAATTATATGTAATGTTATTAGATCGTCTAATAAATTCATCCTCTAAACACTCCTGAATGTCCTATAAGGGCGATTGAAGTCACTGCAGGTTCTTACTTATATTCTTGCAGAAGCTTGACTCCGAACAGAGGGCTGAGATGTTAGAAACTCCTCTACGAATATCAACCTTGTCAATTTGTTCCTTCTGTGTGTTAATTTAGCACCTTGTTAATAAGCCGTCAATACCACTTGTAATTGATCTTTCTTCCAACTAATTAGTCGTACTCATCTGCGTCTTAATATGCAACTCATGCAAATACTGCATATTCACTGGTGTTTAGTCAGCTCCCTAAAAAGATTACTTTTCTCTCCCTGTATTGCATATTAGTCGTCCGCTGCCTACCATTAGATTTTATGTAGTGCAAGTATTATCTTACCTTAATACTCCTAACATAAAAACCCATTGAGGAATTGTTGGTACGGGATAGAAATACAGTTCGATTTCCAATAATTTAATTACAACGTGGATGAAACATTAACATCAACCTTGTAAATCCTATCAAATACAAGAAAGTGTTGGCATATCGGGAACGGTTTAGCAACAAAATTCCAATCCGCTCTCCAACTAATAATCAACAGATAGACTAAAGATTTACAACGGATGCAAATAATACTTATACTTTGACCTCAATACTAATTAAATACGTATTAAAAAAACAAGTAACTAAGTTGCTTCCAAAATACCAGTAATTTATATAAGCAGAAATACAATCAATTTTATGTACATACAAGCATTTCGATAAGTATTAATATAAGCGTTTAATTGTCAAATATGTGTTTATTATTTTTTTAATGGATGACTTGTACAGGCTTGTTTCATCAGTTCACTACATATGTTTCTCACTAGACTTTTGTTTCATAAACCGTTCTGAGTATCTGAGATGATTAACCGCATTTTAATTTAGTCGGTGTAATATATTTGTGTTGAACCGCTATAACTTATATGCGGAAGTTTACCGATAGTTTCATTTGGATGTAACGGTGATAGTCTTTAACAAAAATTATATTGATATCTCCAGTATACTTAAATACAAATATAAATAAATATTCATATGTTGTTTGATAATGGAACATGTAAATACGTCTTACTAAGCGGTAAACTAGAAATCTGACCTGCAGTATTTTTACTTTTATCATAAAGTAGTTTCATAGTAGGTCACAAGATTCTTTTCAATAAATGAGTAGTTAATTAGCTACGTACCAAAAATTACTTTTAATTCTATTTCGATGAAATGATCTACTCAAAATTGGAGCATTTATTATTATTTATTATTATTTATTTATTTATTTGAACACATAAATATTGGTACAAGAGAGCAGTGATATTTATCTGATTAGAAAAGGTGCTTAACAATTTATCAATAAGTTATTTCTTTTTTTCAATTTTTAGTATCCTGAACTAAACGCCATAATGCTGCGGCAATTCAGTTTAGATGGGGATACTGAAAGAGCTCTAGAATTAGTTAAACAGGTAACAGTACAGTGTTTGTTCCCCGGAAATATTTTTTGTCTCTGTACTTGGAACTTATCAGCTGGATGTATCGTCATTCAGCTTTTTCATGTTCCCATTCAATTTCAAATCAGATGCCTATTGTTCTAAAGATTGGATCTACTATCTAATGATAGCTGCTAATGAAAGTATTGACTGACATAATTGTATTTAGTGGGGAAAGTAGTAGGGTTTTAGGTTATACATATTCCGTTAGATATGTGGTTTTAAAAGTATGGAGGTTTTTTAATATCGGTATCTTCTATTATTGCAAAGCATTTTATTTCTGGTTGGCGATTGGGAGTGAGGACAAACCCTCTCCTTCACAATTTTCACTCACACCTGGCAACCAGTCAAAATGAAATGGGAAATACCATTTGCACCATCGTGATCCGTAATGGAAGGTGTGTTTCGTTCCTTTTCGTTTGTGCTGGTTTACATGAAAGATGTAAAGTTTCCTGCAAATAAACCACTCTCCATCATGCTATGGTTGTGCCAAGTGTAGCTCAGTCAGTCATGATAGAAAAAATTACAACATAGCAAAAGTCTTGCCTCCAATTAATTGTATAATATAAACTATTACAAAATATCTGCAATTGAATGACTAAGTAAATAAAAACGTAACCTTGTTTACTGACTACGATACACTAAAATGGCTTGACAACGTGGAGTTTATCTTCAACTGTAATTGCTTATCGGAATAGCGTGAATTATTGAAATTATTAGGTTATTTAGTCAAATCTTATCACAATTTTACCGTACAAAGCATCTACAATAGTCATTTACACACTTGTAATGAATGTCCATCAACATTAGGGTAAAACTTAGTGTTGTTTTACCAAACCTAAAATTTTGATTGCATTTTACTCCATGGACATTCTTTCTCAATTTGTCTTGCGTACTAATTATTATAAATTGTTTTTTCCGTTCCACTATCTTCATTAGTTTTTATTACTCTAGTCTATGAAGGATTTATACCACATGCTAATTTGTTAAGTAATGCAGATTAATAATTACTTTTCTTATTTATAAATTACTGAGCTAATCAGTAAATTAAATGAGACGTGTGACCAAAGAGTTGACAATTAAATTTTACATTGAATAAGCTATAATCGCACGCTACTATCGTACATATAAACACAATCTAACTTCTACTAGTTTAACCTAGCATATGTTCCAAATCTAGAAAATGCCATGTCAATATTTCATTAAACAACTTGACTTTTCTTCATAGAAAAAACCAGGTGATGTTTTTTTATTCCTACTTAAAACGAAGTACCTAGTTGTAAACTTACAAATATTTTTGCAAAACCATTTTCAACGGTACATTATATGATGCTAGGCTTTTATTAGATGAATCTTGACTGTCAAAAGTTTAACCTTTATTGGTTTTACTTCCAACGATTTGTTTTCAACTACTACCAGTAATACTATATCAAGGTTTGGGATATAGACAAATTTAAGATTAGCAGTATTGCAAATTTGTCATTTTCTTCTTTATCCAATTATTCACATCTAAAAATTCTTTAAGGAACTATACTATCTCATTACTAGTAATATTCATATTTGATGACGTTAATTTGACAGTCTATATTTTCTGACTTTACTCGAGTAATATAATTTTTTCTGGTCAACTTTTGTTTTACTTTTGTTGGTTGGTGATTCGCAGTCCGATGGAGTTGGTCAGACTCGAATGTTAGCTGAATTTCATTTCCAGGCAGCTCAAAGATGTTTATTTCAATTCAGGGATTCTTTATCAAGAAAGGCTCTTTTACATGTTGCAGCGAATTTCCTACAACGTGATCGATAAAATCGTATTTCCTCTAGTCAAATCTTATTTTACCCATTTTCCTGTTCGTCTTTTTAGCCTTGATTTTGAACAGTTTTGCCTTTTTCTTTTTCCTGGTTTCATCCACAATACGAAAGTAACGGTACATTACACTTAACTAATAGATATTTATCCTAATTGGTATTTTCAATCTACTCTTATTACTTTGTTACCTAGTTTATACATTAATATGCAGAAAAAGATACTTCCGTGATATCCTTAAATAATTTGCCTTTGTTGACATATTAGTACTAGTCTGTAATTTATTTCGATAACCGCTCAACCAGATTGCTATTTTTTCAGAACTGGTCTTTCAGCGTTTGTTCCTAAAATTAGCACATGTCAAATATATATCTATTGTAAACAGCTCTTTTGGGTTTTTATCACTATAAAAAACGAACAACACTTAAATTTGTGTTTACAGTGGTAATTTGAGCGTCATTTTAAAATGGACATAAATTTAAGCTTATTTTCAGAAATATTTTGTCAAATCTTCTCAGCAGCTGATATTTGTACTTGATAATTGAGCTTACTCTGTACAGCTTTTCGTATCAACTTTCCGAAGTTGCCTGATTTATTAAGAAAAGTGAATAATACTGCTAGTCTTTTCCACATTTTCGTCCCCATATTTTTGTGTTTATTTGACTTGGGTGTTTTCGTATTGTCAGACTAATCCGAAATATCGTCATGACAGATCGCTGACTCTACCTAAATTATCTGTGTTCTTCACCCGGCAACACATTTTACTCTGAACAGACAACAGCGAAGTGCGATTCTGCTGCGCAAAGGTAGCTTCTTGAAAGCATAGCTTGGTTCGTACACTACTCGTTATCATAGGGTTTTTCTCACTGTAGTCGGACAAGTAGGCTACCTCAAACCTGTCTAGCATGGATTTTCCTAAACTACGAATTACCTAAAAGAGATTCGATGGTGGACAGCAGACTAGTGAACTGTTCCAGGACATAGATTGACAGGAGTGTTGGGAATGAGAGGTTGCTGGCTAACTAGTGCTTATCGAATACCTTTTCTGACAACCTCAACCATGATTTGCGTTTTCGTTAAATCTCAAAACGACTTATTGGACACATTAGCTTCCTCCAAATATCAAAGTGTGGCTATCACTATGGTTGCGTTCATCTTAATGAAAAAATTTACATTTCGCTATTAAATTGGCAGTATCTACAGGAAATTGATCCGTCCCATTAGTTTTCAAAATAATGTCAGACTGTCTTGAGAACCACGGAGAATCTTTCAAAGCAAATCGTAAAACTGAGATGGTGAGAAAGACTTTTAGCTTAGGTGGATGATTATGACGGAGACTTGTTCTCTGAGCTAGGTGATTTGGTCGTGGAGCTCTCATTGTTCTTCCGAAAGACATCATCAGCACAAGCTTCAGGTAGAAGTGAAGTGTTTAGAAGAACGATGAGAGCTCCACGACCAAACCATCCAGCTCAGAGAACAAAACTCCATAAAAATCGTGAAACAAGATACTGGATGGCTAAAGTACATAAACACTCAGGCCCATGATACGCGAATCCTTCCTTCATCATTTGTAGCTTTTCATGAGTTACTTGCCGTGCTTTTAAGAATACAGTTGTTCGTGTTGTCGCGACGTGGTCAGTCATATCGCTATTTGCAGATTCAGTAGGCTTCAATATACACAAAGGGGAAAAGCAACACCCTCAAATACAACACGGAAAACACAAACTCAATCACACTTGACAGAGTCTGGCACAGGTGGAAAAACTCATATATCTGGGCAGCATAATTGACGAACATGGAGGATCTGATGCACAGACGAATGCAAGGATTAGCAAAGCAAGTGCAGCATGTCTACAATTGAAGAATATATAGAACTAAAAACAACTATCAGCCAACATCAAAGTTACAATCTTCAATAGGAACGTCAAGACCGTTCTACTGTACAGAGCTGAAACTTGGAGAACTACAAACATCATCAAAAAAGTAAAGGCATTCATAAACAGTTATCGACGCAGGATATTCAATGTTCGCTGATCAGATACTACTGTGGAAGAGAGTAAACCAGCTCCCAATTGAAGAGGATATTATATTAGGAGGCCTCAAGTGGATAGGACATAAATTACGGATATCATCAGGCTGCACCACTAGGCAAGAGGAAAAGAGGAAGACCAAGGAACACATTGCGCTGGGAATTGGAGGCAGAAATCAAAAGAACGAACAACAACTGGGAAGGATTGTCGAGGACAGAGTTCTATGGAGAGTACTGGTGGGCTGTCTGTTCTTCTACGAGTGGTAATTGGAGTAAGTAAGTATTCACCCACGCGAATTTCGTCGATATTTTCCAGAGTTCAGGATACGTTTTGAGTATCGACTCCAAGTTCTCAGGTAGCTTATTGGTGAAACGTATGAATGGTCGGTTAAAATGAGGTGAACCGTAAGTGGGCTGATTCATAATGATCACATCCTCATAAGTTTTCTGTACTGGTCAGTATGTCGTTTAAGTCTCCATGCAGACTAAGTAAGTTAAACGTCATCTAGCTGAAAGCTCTCGGGAATACATCCTCACCAGACCACGAGTGGGTACACTGTGCTCAAATTCTCCAACAACCGCTAACCGGCTTAGACTGAGCAGTCTATCAAATATATCATCGAAAGTCCTCGCTTCCGAGTTTTGACTTGACTATGTTGACACGTTTCGATTATAGACGCTGTTACTGGAAAAGGTGATGTCAAACTCCGTATACTTGTAGTAATTCAGAGTGAAACAATCCGGAAGTTAAGCTTCCTTGCTTTGTAGAAAAAGATATCAAAACAGCACACTTTATTGGCTGCGGAATCCCAATGGAAGGGATAGCCTGAGTATCACAAATAATGACAGTCACGTCCTTTGTAGTGGACAGTGCGATACTAACATCATATTAGAAGAATGAGTTGGGTATATCAATGGTTTTCACCAATAGAATTCTATATCTACTGGCCTTAAAAATGACGGATTTTCTTGATTTCCAGTTGTAAATAATAATAATTTATTCTCAAATAAGAGACTTTTACATGAGGAATGCCAGTTTACAAGCACGACCAAATTGTTGAGGAAGATACAGTCTTCATTGTGTGGGTTACTTAGTTAGTTTTTTTATTTCGTAAGGTACACTGTTCATTGAATTATGGGCGATAACACATCTCAAATATTAGTTAGACTCGTATTGTAAATATGACAGTCGGCGCGCTTTAAGGAAGTGGCGTCGCGACCTGCAACTGATGGTCGAGAATAAATCCGCGTACGGTTGAGAGCTTCTACAAACCGCGACCTTATATCATTCTGGGACAGCTGAAGCAATAATCGCGCAGGACAAAGTCACCAGTTTCATATGTGTTTTCGGTGGCATATATTGAAGGGGGTGGAAAGAAGAGTAAAATATAGAAAGGAAGAGAAGCGAAACAGAACATGTTTATGCCTATTTCAGTTGAGTCATTTGAGGTGAAATCATGAAGGTATGACTAATCAGTCTAGTTTTCTATTGTTAAAGTTTTAGCGGTAAATAAATCACCAAAATAAATAGCTCTAAGTTCTCGACATTGGATGCTGACCATAAGTTTTAGTGGACTCATCTAGCTGAAGGCGCTTGGTCATGCATCCGCACCAGATCACGTGTGGTAACGCTGTGCTCAACATCTACCGCAATCGCTAGCCAGATTAGATCAGAGAATTCCGATATATTGGTAATCGCCAATACACTCTTCCGATCTCCTCGACTCTGTCTTTTGATTTCTCTGGGTGGGAACGAAATATATTAGAAGGTGTTACTGGTAAAAGCGTTGTCAAACACTGAATACCTGTGACATCATCATTGGTGAAACCGACGTGATCTTGTACACCTAATTGCAACTGTGAGTCTGTTCCTTTTTGGGATTTTTATATATCATTGCCTTATTTTTTATTTTTTTAAACATTGTGATTTTTTTCGTGTTTTTTCCTGGATATATATATATTTTCCCCTCGTTCATTATCGTACTTCAGATTTCATCATGACTGAACAGACACCCAAAGTACTCAAGCTTAAGACCTTGTCCCCACCTTCGTTTCAACTGATGCCTTTCTGGCCCGACAATATTGAAGCCTGGTTCTGCTACGCAGAAGCCGACTTCTTCGAGCACGGCGTGAACGACACACGTGCACAATTCCTCGCAGTAGTCAAGGCACTACCGCGCGAATTCAACAGGTACGTAACACCTAGTATGTTTACTAGTGATGTTTCCGAACCTTAAGAAATCTTGAAACGTTCGATTCTTAAATGAGGAGACCTAACCGATCGACAAAGGTTAGATCAACTCTTCAATAACATCGACCTGCAACACGGTTCTGCGACAGACATGTTGCAACGGATGAGAGAGGTAATAGGCCCAAGAACTTTCGACGAAGGTCTATTCAAACAACTCTTCTTGTCGAAACTTCCCCAACAGGTGCAAGCAGTTCTGGTCTCGCTCCAGAACAACGCCTTAGACGAATTGGCTGCATCTGTCGATCGTATTTTGGAAATTACGAAATCTTCTACTACCGAGGTATTTTCAGTCAAAGAAAAGCCTCAAACGACTCAGAATGACATAACCGAGTTATGTCATACACTCACGCGTTATCTTAATCTTCGTACCGACCGTAAGAGATCACGCACAGCACGTAGAAGCATTTCTCGTAAGCGACCTGTCTCTAGACCACGAGAGACAGATAACCCCGACTGGTGCTGGTATCATAACCAGTATGAAAAGTCTTCCAGAAATTGCAGAAAACCCTGCAATTTTCCCAACACGAAACCGAGTGACTCGAAAAACAACTCGGGAAACTTCCAAGCCGACACGCGTTAACGGCAACCGTAGCCGGCAAACATAACCGTCTGTTATTCGTCACAGATGTGACAACGAGAATTCGCTACCTCGTCGACACTGGCGCAGAAGTTAGCGTTCTCCCAGCGAATCCCAACGACCGGCTTAACGAATCGGCTCTA